AAATTTTTTTTAGGAGAAAAAGTTCCATCCATGAAAACATAACTCTGTTTTATGGTGTGATATGTTTGAGAGTAGCTTTGAGAATAACTGAAGGTGTTTGTTTCATAAAAGCTCTGAACCTTATATATGCACAGTGAAATATGGTATAGCCCTGTGCTCATTAGAGACCCCGTAGTCCTGTTTCATTAAATACTTGTTCTTTGGAGAAAACGGCACAAAATTAGATTTTAATAAGAAGCTGCTATTCCTTGGGAATAAAGTCACCCTATGGAGAGAGAATGCATGCTCATGCCAGTGCAAATTAGCAAAGACAGTGCACCCTCCTTACATAATAAGCAGTAACATCTTAGTTAGCATCCTAATGGCTTTTTCAGATCTGCTGTAGCATTTCATTGTGTTGGTCTATGTAAATGGATCTGGGATATGCAGTATGTCTGCATAATGGCCAATTATGTTTCTCTTGTAGGTCTAAAAGTGCACTCTGAGGACCTCTAAACCAGAACTTGGGATTTTCCCAATGAATCAGCGAAATCTCCTTTTCATTTAATTGTAAATAATAGTTTTGCATTTCTTATACACAGTAAGAGAAATTGAACTATATTTAATTTAAACATTTTTCAGCTCTTCCATATATGGACAAATTTGCTGGTACCCCTTATTTAATCAAATAAAATCTGACAATGGTCACAGAAATAACTTCTGACAAAAGTAATCAATAGAAAGTCCTGAAAAAAAAAGAAGAAATGTCACGTGACTTCTTTAACCATACTTCTACAGAATTATTTTGGAATATTAAACAATGAAAAAGGCCTGGACCAAAATGATGGTTCCTCTAGAAAAGAATGAAAATAATGTGACCAAAGGGACAAGCCAAATGAAGGTGTGTCAACTATTTAGTATTGCAGGTGACATTATTGTTATCAGTCAGTGGGTATATAGGGTAATTGGTAGTCACTGTGCTGTTTGGTGACATGGCGTGTACCACACTCAAATTTAAACAGATTTCATTTAGATTGAGATCATTATGGCTTTTTCCTTCATTAAGAGAGAGGTACCAACATTATTTGCACTTATGTACACTTGAAGATTTTTGGCACTATTATCTATATATAGATAGAATGGCTTCAGGTGTCAATAATGTCTGACACCACTAGGCACCCCTAGTAAATATGGGTCAAAAAAATGTTTTCGTTTATTGTGGTACTGAAGTCTAAAAAAAAATAAATAAATAAAAATCAAACCATTATCCACATTTACGTATTTAGTTGAAAGAAAAATGTCCAAAAACAAGCACATTTCTCTAAAGTACATGCACGCAATTACACATCTCAGTAAAGTATTCCCTCATATTCGTTTTTTTGTCACATCAGTCCAAAGAACAACTATATTTTATATAAAACCTATGTTATATTGCTGGCTGTCTAAGCATTAGCCCAGCCTCCTTTGCCCACTCTTTTACTGACGTTCTATCTATATATCTATCTGCTATGATAAATGTTTGCAGTGAGAGCTCCTGTCTAACATGAGTAAGCATCAGAGAGAGAGGTTCACCTATCTCATCTCTTATGAGAGAATAAAATTATTACCATTCATTCAAGC